AGACAGAGACAGAGACAGAGACAGAGACAGAGACTGTCGGGCAGAGAGACAGAGAGACAGAGAGACAGAGAGACAGAGAGACAGAGAGACAGAGAGACAGAGAGACAGAGAGGCAGAGAGGCCGATACAGAGACAGACAGAGAGACAGAGAGACAGAGAGACAGAGAGACAGAGAGACAGAGAGACAGAGAGACAGAGACAGAGAGACAGAGACACAGAGACACAGAGACACAGAGACAGAGACGAGACAGAGACAGACAGAGACAGACAGAGACAAAAGAGAGACAGAGACAGAGAGAAGTGGAGAGAAAGAGAGAGTGCCGCACCCAGCAGAAACGCATAGCTCACCAAATGTCAATGAAGTACACAGCACTCATCCACAGATGGAGGGATGTACTACCAAGGAAGAGGTAATTGAGCACACTGACTAAGGAGACAGAAATGAATGAACAGCAATCATTCAACCTTAAGGCCTACCTTCTTAAACCGAAAAAAAATGCATGTACATTGTACACAAATAGAATGAACGGGGTATGAAACCCACCACCTCCTGCAAACCACTTCCGTGCTCAAACCAACTGAGCTAGCCCGCTTGGGAAAAGTTGTTTGTAGTAACTTTGTACTATTATTTTACATAACATTTTGTTTTTCAGATTTTCGAACATTTTTCTGAGATTTTTTTAAATATTTTTATGTTTGTTTTCGGAGGGTTTTGGTGCTCGTTTGCGTTCAGTCGCGAAAGTTCAGATTCGGTCACCGAATGTGAACACGATGCTACGCAGGTTACTAGACAAATGAAATCAAATATTTCTGAATTGTCTGGGGCCGGTAGTGTGAGGATTGAGCCCTCAAGTAGGGGCCTTGCCATGATGTACATGTTCTGGGCTAAGGCCCCAGCAAGCCTAGTGCCCGCCCTAAGTGAAGGCAGGCCAGCAAATCAACAAGAGCCCTCTGTGCCAACATTTCACGAAGTGGGGTCTATACAGTTGCAGCACGCCAGTTGGTTGGAGTGCACCGAGTCTCGGATTTCAGCAAATGCTGAAATGCCCAGGGCCTCTGAGTTAGTTAGGCCCTGGGCACTCGAACGTGAGGCCGACAATACATGCTGGGTAGAGAGGCCGAAAATGCCAAAGGGCAATAGGCCCACTGTCTGAATCTGGCCGCAGGCCTTGATGAAGGAGGCGCAACTGCATTGCCCCGGGGCCCAACTGGCTTCAGCCTCTGGGCCCCGGTCACAGGCTGAAGGGAGGCCGCCCACACGCTGCACTGGCATATAGGCAAGCAGGGCGAGGCAGCGGGGATCTTGGCCAATGCTGGCATATGCGGGCACGCTGCGCAGATGCAAGTGTGCAGCGCTATGCAGAGCAGCGCTGCGCTAAGACAGGGCAGGCCAGCGCTAGGCGGTAGGGCGCTGCCTGCGTGCAGGGCACTGGCGGCCA